CACGGCTCGGTACATCACAGCTGAACCCAGGAATCGGCGAAAAGTGTTGCCCAGTTACTGTGCCTCAACCCTAAACCCTAAGCCCTAAACCTCAAACCCTAAACCCTAAACCTTAAACCCTTAACCCCTAAACCCTAAACCCTGAACCCTAAACCCTAAACCCTTTAGTTCGCATTCAGCAGAAAGTTTCGCTGTGGGGGGCTCTATGGTTCCGGATTGAATTTTTGGGTTCACCAGAGTCGGTCGCGTTTAGGGTTCAGGGGTTTAGGGTTTCGGGTTTAGTGTTTAGGGGTCTAGGGTTCAGGCGTTTTCAGGAGCTGAGTAGTAGGTGGCTCGAGCTTAGAATGCAGAGCGCAGGGCATTGTACCAGACTCGCGCCCCTAAGCCCAAACCCGACTTGCGTCCAGGAAGAGGAGGAGGACGAGGAGAACAGAAATTTGGAGGCTCGCACGTGTATGATGAGTGGGGCTAAAAGTACCTTAATTAAGTCTACTTTACGTCTGCCACTCATTGCCTACTCACTGAGTCCCCTGAGCCCTAAACCATACGGGTGGTTCGTAAAAGAACGGACCCCTGTAAAGGTCTCACAAGGCGCTGGGGAAGGGTATTAGTATTTGTATCCTTTGTTGTCTGAAACGGCCAGAAACATAGACCCCAAAAGCCTAATCCAGAACCCCCTTTTCCCCAACACACCCAGCTGTGGCGGCTACACAATCTGCTTCACGGAGTCTCCCAATCCTCGCATATCTGAGCTTCGAAGTGAGCCTCGGGACTACAATGCTACACCCCAAAACCGTGTTCAGGTTAGTAAGGTCCTTTAATCCCTAGTAGGTCCTTACAAATACCCTTACTTTAGGGTTTAAGGCCTTTCGTGGTGGGCCTCTAGGTCCCGACTTTGCAATCGATGTTCGACGAGGGCCTGAACGCGGCCCTCGACACGGCAGCAGCTTGGCAGTGTCTTGCGGGGGCCTCTTAGGGTTTAGGGTTTAGCTTCTTAACCACTACAATAGCGCTTTTGAGTAAACTGTACTTTGTTCATATTAGGGAACCTGAAGGACAACAATTTAGTTGTTCAGGCCTCTATATTATATAATCAGGGGTGCCAAGATTGGTAGTTTGTCGATGCTTCATGAAGATCAGGAAACTGGGCAGCGCGAGAAATACAAACCACCTCATAAACTCCAAGTGCCCTTGCAAGGCTCTGTGATGTTGCGTAGTAGGCGTAGTACCCTGGGGAAAAGATCATTGATATAGACATCAATGCCATCAATTAATCCGTATCTCTAGGCACCTAAACCCCTCAAACCTCCAAGTTCTGATACAGAAGTCTAGACAATGACGAATCTTATTCAAAAGGGTTCCTTCTTACAACAAAACTATAAAGGAACCCCAAAACCCCTACGCTAACCCCCCAAACCGAAGGCCGTACCCTAAACCCTAAACCCTAAACCCTAAACCCCTAAACCCCTAAACCCCTAAACCCCTAAACCCCTAAACCCTAAACCCCTAAACCCTAAACCGCCTGATGCCTTTCTCTTGAGGTCGGTGCCTTTGACTGAAAGCCGCAAGAAGAGAAGCCGAACCTTGCATAGAACATCAAAACAGGGTTTAGGGTTTAGGGTTTAGGTTTAGGGTTTAGGGTTTTGGGTTTTGGGTTTGGGGTTTTGGGTTTAGGGTTTAGGGTTAAGGGCATGTCGAAATAGGGGTTCTATGAGCATCATAAGTGTTAGTTACACACGGGTTCTCTCACAGCCTGTATAATTACCAATTTTGTTCCATGGAAAAGCACTGTTCTAGTTCTTACGGCTCCTTTATGGCATAGCAGCATAGTCAGCCTAAGCCCAAAGCCCTGAAACCTGAACCTCCACAACCCTAAGCCCTAAGCCTGAACCCCTAACTCAAGACTGCGTAACTTCTGTGGCGAAAGCGGGTTGCTCGCGTGAAAACCTCGGCATCGAGAGTGGACGCCTGGGGTTGCGACGGGTGTCTTTTTCTCGCAGTTTCGGGCTTCAACTGTAGAGAGAGTACTTGTGGCTAAACCCTAAACCCTAAGTGGTGTAGGGTCTAGGATTTAGGATTCAGGGTTTGGGCAGTTGAGGGCTGGAGGTATAAAGTCTAGAGAGTTCAGGGTTTCTCGGTTTGATACATTCGTTCTCATTTTTTACCACAAGGGTTTGTATGTGAGTGTACATGCTGCCTTTTAGATCTGTTGATGAGCATGGGTTCGTGTATCTTTTGTGGTATAATTACTAAAGCCCTATATCTCTCACCGCTAAAACAAACTTGTGTTTCAATGTCGCACCCCCCTAGGCGCTTGCTCGAATGTCTATAGCTCCCGGGCAGCGCGAAAGATTCGCTGGCGTTGTCACAACTCAGAAGCCGTGCCCAACGACACAGGCATCCCGGCTTTGGGTTTGGCGTTTTCCGGTTTAGAAGTTATGGTGCTTGCGGAAGGCGTTCCGATGTATCGAATCTTACCATACTCTGCGCTCACAGTCAGTATAACGTACAGCACGCATATACATACATACATACATACGTACATACATACATACATACAGACATACATACAGACACGCAGGTATACAGACAGGCGGACGGACGGACCGATGTCCGCAGACAGATAACGCAGACATTAAATATACACACAGACTTACAAACGTAAGTGCATACATACATACATGCAGACATACACATACACACACACACACATACAGACACACACACACACACATACATACAAAAATACATAAATACACACAGGAATACGTACAAGGGTACATGCATAAGCAGACAAAAATATGTGAATATCGAGTATACTTTACATTCAAAGAATATATAGAACGAGTACATATGCATGTGCATACTCTTACGTATGCATATGAGCATAGGCATGGCCAGCATGCAGGCACTCATTGAGCCTTCACTGAGACTTGGATTGGGACCCCGAGCTCGCGATTCACTTCAGCAGCAGAAGTAGGGGGGTGAAAGATTCAAAGCTCTGAGATGTGATTTGCACAGAATTGCAGACTTAGGAAGCTGCAAAGCTGCTTCCCACGTGATACCTTACTCGCTGCAGTGCTGTCGTTGCTGCGTGAGGCCTGGACATACGCAAAAGGACTATAAACGTAGGAACCGTGCTGAATGAAAGCCACAGTTTTTTGTTGAACCATGAGGTTTCCAAAGATAATGTTTAGGGTTTAGGGGTTTAGGGTTTAGGGTTTAGGGTTTAGGGTTTACCTAGACCCGGCGGAACCCAAAATAAGTTGGGTCGCTATACGGGAACCGCGTTCCCAGAGGGTTATTCTTAATAACCGCGTTCTAGGATAAAGAACCTGGTTTTGGTATTAAAACCTAGTTTCACATCCTGGTCTTGGGGCAGCATTGATGATGAGAGGGTTCAGGGTCAGACGGCCAGCAGCGCTGGCTCGAAGCTGGCAGTCTTTTTCTCTGACTGCTGAACGAATGTGCCGCAGCCCCAGCAATCGAAAGTCCTGCAACATGGCGGTTAACCGGATTGAGCAAGTGTTGTGGGGTTACGCAGGCTCTTTTTCTCGAAGGCTAGGCAGACGTAGCTGCTAGCGTCATGGCCGCGAGCATTCGGTGCGATGTTTCGGGGCTTTCTGCTCAGTGGGAAAAAATCGAATCGATTCGGGACAGAGTGCGTGGGGGAGGCTTCTTGGTGGAGCCTGTAAATGCCGATGGTGGTTTGGATGTTTCCAACAAGTTGGCCATCAAAAGCATTGATGCTTTGATCTTCGTCTTGGTACGTGTTGCTGACACAAAAGTGTTGAAGATTCCAGATATCGAGCCACTCCGGACTTGTGTTTCGGAAATCTATGCTCTTATGAACCGAGAAGTGGATCAATCTAGAGTTGATGATGATGCTTGGGCCCTGCGGCATTTGGCCGGCTTTGTGAAGCGGAAGGCCCAAAAGAGCCTGGTGAGTTTGGCTGCTCGCACGCACGACTTCATCTCGCAGCCCTCGTTCCCGTCTTCTCTCTCTCTCTCTCTCTCTCTTTCTCTAATCTAAGGTGACCGCCCTCGGTCACCTTAAGTTGAACACAAAGTTCAATATAAGACCTGCAGCTGAGGACCCTGACTTTCAGGATATGTGTTTGATCCTGAGGCCAGATCTGCAGGACAGCTCCCATCAACTAACTGACTTTATTACGTAAAGCTTGGCATCACTGCATTTTTTGTAGCTCTTATACAGCAGCTGCCTAGAGTGAGACACGTTGTTATTGCAACAGGAGCTCGTGGATGAAATCCGTGCTCGGGGAGAGGATGCTCTTCCTATGATAGCTGAGGAGGCCCCGCCCCTGACGTTGCCAGACCCAGAGGACTGCATGCAACTTGAGTAGCGCATGGTATGACAAGTCCGTGCACAGTCGAGTTTGCTTATAAATGCTGGAGGACACTGGTGCTGGGGTAGGGCTAGTACCTGGAGTGTCCGATGTGTCCTCTGCCAGCCCACCAGCAGATCCTGCACCAGTCACGGATGCACCGGTTGCAGCCACCCCTCCGATTCCAGCTGTGATTGCACCGGTTGCGCCCGCACCTGTGATTGCACCGGTTGCACCCGCACCTGTGATTGCACCGAGGGCACCCGCGCCTGTGATTGCACCGATTGCACCCGCACCTGTGATTGCACCGATTGCACCCGCACCTGTGATTGCATCGAGTGCACCCGCACCTGTGATTGCACCGATTACACCCACGCCTGTGATTGCACCGATTGCACCCGCACATGTGATTGCACCGGTTGCACCCACGCCTGGCACACCTGCGGCGACGACGATTGCAGCCGTTGCTCCCGCCCCTTTAGCGACGGTTGCACCCGGCCCCGATGAACCCGCCCCTGTTCCTGTGCAAGCGACTCCGCCTGAACTTTCTGTTCCAGCTGCAAGCGCCTCGAATCAATAGCAGTCAATGATGATTTGTGCCTTTGCCCTGCATTCGTCTTATGCATGATCCTGGTTTCGGTTTCTTTTCAGGTTCTCCCATAGACCGCAAGTTCCAGCTGAACATGCTTCGGGAGCAGCTGAACCAGATTCTTGGCAGGGACAGCACATAGCTGATTCGATTC